CTTTGATTTCCTTTTGTTGTCTGATTGCTGATGCTAGAACTTCCAGCACTATGTTAAACAACAGCGGTGAGAGTGGGCATCCCTGTCGTGTTCCTGATCTCAGGGAAAAAGCTCTCAGTTTTTCCCCGTTGAGGATGATGTTAGCTGTGGGCTTTTCATAAATGGCTTTTATGATCTTTAAGTATGTTCCTTCTATCCCGACTTTCTCAAGGGTTTTTATTTGGAACACCCTTCTCCACCGCCTATTGATTAATGCCTATTTATTACTGGAAGATCACAGCAAAATGGTTTTGAGTCAGTGTGCTTAAGTCTAAGTACTACCCTTGAGCAAGTTACGTAACCTCATCGGGTTCTACTTCCTCACCTGTCAGATAACAACAGGACCTACCTCCAGGGGTGATGTTAGGACTTCAGAGATAGTAGAGTACCTCGTATGTGGAGTATACCCAAGAAACACCAGCATGTACAACTACGGTACTGTTCTATGTGTCAATTCCTCAGAGGCTCTGGAGCTCAACTGCCTGGTCTGAGCTGACATAATCTCAGACAAGCTGTTTCTAGGTTCCCCACATATGAGACGGAAATAAGTACATCTACCTCAAAGGCTTCTTGAGAATATGAACTGAGATGTCAGGTAAAGCATACAGACTGGGAACCAGCACTACTGGAGCAACCAGTACCCACTGACCACGACAATGGTGATGGTAATATATCACCATATTTATCACAGAAGAGTGCAATTGCTTCCTGTCTTCCTCTCCCACTAGACTGAATCCCTTGAGAACAGGGACGGAATCTTTTCCTCCTCTTCTATCTGCAGCACCTAGCCAGTGCCTGACACACAGGCACCTGCAGTAAATGCTGGCTGAATAAAGGACCACAAAAGAGGAGGGGAGACCAGCACCCCTCTCAGGGCTAGTCCTTCAAGGACACAACCAACATACTTCAGTCCCCTTGGGCATTATCTGAAGGCCCTGATCCCCATCTCCAGAAAGGATTTCATGGAAGGTAAAGGCCAATCAGAGTGAATGCACTTGAGAAATGGATCAGAGGGGCGCCTGGGTGGCTTGGTCGGTTAAGCGTCCGACTTTGGCTCAGGTCATGATCTCACGGTCCGTGAGTTCGAGCCCTGCGTCGGGCTCTGTGCTGACAGCTCAGAGCCTGGAGCCTGTTTCAGATTCTGTGTCTCCCTCTCTCTCTGCTCCTCCCCTGTTCATGCTCTGTCTCTGTATCAAAAATAAATAAACGTTAAAAAAAAAAAAAATTAAAAAAAAAAGAGAAATGGATCAAAGTTTCAGAGGGAATAGTAAAGAAACAATTATAACAAGTATTTAAGCTGGAAAATTAACCTAAAATATAAAAATAAGCCCATTTTTTTAATATTTAGTATTTTTTTAATATTTAGATTGTGACTATAATTATTACGGCCTAATAATGAATCAAGTATTGATAAGGGGGCATAATTTTCTGACAGAGTTGTCAGATATGGTTAAATCCTAGCCCCTGGCACCTGTGAATGTGACCTTCTCTGGAAACAGGGCCTTCGCAGATGTAACCAAGTTATGATGAAGTGGTACTGAGTGGTATCCTTGAAGGAAGAAGGAAATTTGGACACAGACACAGAGACAGACACAAGGGGACCTCCACGCGAAAATAAAGAACCGGGAGGGATGCATCTTCAAGTTAAGGAAGGCCAAAGATTGCTGGCTACCACCAGAAGCTAAGGCCAGACATGGAAGATGGAAGGATCATCCACTAGAGTCTTCCGAGAGAGCACACCCCAGGTGACACCTTGATTTTGGACTTCTGGTCTCCAGAAGTATGAGAATACATTTCTGCTCTTTTAAGCCACAAACCACAAGCCAAGCTTGTGGTACTTTGTTATGGCAGCTCTAAGAAACTACTACAAGGATCAATAAAATCTTTGGAACGTTATTACTATAGCGCTTATGAAGGGATAACCCCAGGCAGGTGGCAATCTCCCCCCATCCAGAACCTCACATACTCAAAATGGCTTGATGCCATGCCATGTTCACTGCCAGCATGATCCGGATGCAGTTCTGAGGGTCAGGCTTCTGCTCTGTTTCTGAGTCTTAGTGTTGACTGCGGCTTTTCTGCAGCTACTACTGGGATGGGGGCTCTACTCCTGGGATGGGGGCTCTGCTGGGTCCTTAGCAGGCCCCTCCCATGGACCAGAACCTGACATCCAGCCCCTGCCTGCAGTTATAGCCAGAGCAGCCACTGAGATCTCCCCGGTATCACTGCCTCCTGGCCACTCCTCTGGCCATGGGGTTACCGAGCACGAAACCGAAAAGGAGCTGTCAGATTCTGCCAGTATGTGCTAGAAGCAAGATGAAACATCATCGTGGGCATGGATATTTTTAGGAGGCTTACAGAAGAGGTGCACTTTGAGTTGCCCTTCAAGGATGTTGAGGATTTATTTATTTATATGTTTTTAAAGTATTTATTTATTAGTATAATTCTTATATATATATTTTAAAATTTATTTATTTTGAGACAGAGTGCAAGCTTGAGCCAGAGTCAGCATGGGGCCTGATGTGGGGCTTGAACTCACGAACCATGAGATCATGACCCAAGCTGAAATCAAGAGTCAGATGCTTAAACGACTGAGCCACACAGGCACCCCTAAATTTTTTTTAACGTTCATTTTTGAGAGACAGTGTAAACAGGAGAGAGGTAGAGAGGGAAAGGGGGACAGAAGATCTGAAGTGGGCTCTGTGATGACAACAGACAGCCTGATGTGGGGCTCGAACTCATGAACTGTGAGATCATCACCTGAGCTGAAGTTGGACACTCAGCCAACTGAGTTACCCAGGTGCCTTTATCTATCTATCTATCTATCTATCTATCTATCTATCTATCTATCTATCAAGTTTGTTTGTTTTTGAGAGAGAGAAAGAAAATACTCACGTGTGTGAGCAGGGCAGGGGTGGGGGTTGGGGGGAGACAAATGATCCCAAGCAGACTCCAAGCTCTGAGCTGTCAGCACAGAGCCCAGCACAGGGCACACACTCATGAATCATGAGATTATGACCTGAGCTGAAATCAAGAGTTGGATGCCTAACTGACTGAGCTACCCAGATGCCCCTCAATGAAGATTTAAATGCATGAACATTGAGTCAACAAAATCCTACCAAGGGACCACTAAGTGTTGGGACTGAAGGGAGGAATCCGGCATGGTCTCTGCTCTCCAGGAATCGATAGTCTCAATCCGGGTATGTGATGGACGGCACAGGGAGGGACACCAAGGCAGACTGCATGGGAGCCAGAGGAATGACCTCAACCAAGGGTGGGGTGGTGGTGAGGAAAGAACCTCTAGGAGAGTGGTATGTAGGCTGGATCGTGGGATGTACAGTGATAGCTAGGCAGTGCATGTGTTCGGGGGGGGTCAGGGAGAAAAGTTTGGGGGAAATGGGAAGAGTGTAAAGAAAAGCTAGAGGAAGGAATTGTGGCTGTGTGAGTGGATGTGGAAGAGTCTCTGTGAAAGCGTTTCTGTCACCCTGCAAGTGCAGAGCAAGGAAAGAGGACAGGGCAGGAGGCCAATTTTAGACCTAAGTGTATAAGTGTATGCATCTCAGCACTTAAAGACATATACATTACAGGGTAATTGTTCATAATTTGGAAGGAATTAGAAGGGCAAAATATTTGGTTTAGGATTATTTAAAAAAGTAAACAATACATTTCAAATTCAATTTGATCCACAATAAGTTCAGACATAATTTTCAAGGACACATACACTACCAAAAAGAAAAAAAAAAAAAGCCATGGACTACCACAGTGGAAAAGGTTATCTACAAACAGATCTGATTTAAGTTGTAGCTCTGGCCAAGGCCATCATGACTTACTTTTCTGACGTGATTATAGGCATGTCTGTCTTCATATCTGTAACAAAGACGTTCTGTTAGTTCAGACAAATTTTTTTCCTTAAGGAAAAAAAAACACTGAAAATGCAACAAAGACAAAGACAATTTTAAGAAGCCCCAAATCGCACATCTAACAGGTTCACTAATCCTGCCCAACCAGCAATGGCAAACACGTGCCTCATTAGCCATCCCTCTGTGAACCCAACCCCTGGAAGGGGATGCTGACAGATCATGGTGCTCTTGCTGTGCTCAGATGTGACCCTGAAATCCTGCTCAACTCAACCCTGCAGCTCAGCAGCAGTGGCATGTGCTTAGGATTAGAGGCTTGATAATCTGCCTCCTCTATGCCACCTCTCAATGTACATGCCCTCTACTTTTGGATGAGAACATCAAGGCCCTAAAGCTGTGCACTTTATCGCTATTGTCCAGTGCTCCACAAAGCATCTTTTATTTTATTTTTTTTATTTTTATTTTTTTTATTTAATTTTTAAATTTTTTTGTAATACAGCTTAAAGTCGGTGCCGTCAGTGCAATCAACCTACCCTATACTCTAAAGAAAGGAAGAGTGGCAAAATAACCTTCACATTGCTTTCAGCAGTTTTTTTAAAATTTTTTAAATATTTATTTTTCAGAGAGAGAGAGACAGAGTGTGAGCAGGGGCAGAGGTGGGGCAGAGAGAAGGGAGACACAGAATCTGAAGCAGGCTCCAGGCTCTGAGCTATCAGCACAGAGCCCAACGTGGGGCTTAAACTCATGAACTGTGAGATCGTGACCTGAGCCCAAGTCGGACACTTAATCAACTGAGCCACACAGGCACCCCTTAGCAGTTATTTCATAGGTGGTAGCAT